GGATCTTAACCCAGATTATTTAATCCAAACTTTCTTAAATAAAGTTATCTAGAACGAGCCAGCGTGCACTACCCAGAACAGCAATAATACTTCTAAAAATGAGTCGTTTAAAAAAGAGATGTCCTTCAACTTTGCTAATGAAAAGGTACTGCAGCTGTCTGTCAACGAGCTGACAAGAGGCCGTAATGTTCTCGATATTATTCCTGTGAATGATAACCGAATAGACAACCGGGCAGTTTGTCAAGCTTCGAAATTTGTTGATTAGTATTGGGACAACCAGAGAAAATTGCATCGTTCAGCGCCGAAATTCATCTGCTATTTAAAGGCACGTTCAGCGTCACCCGAAGGCTTAATTATATGCGAAAACCAAGCGAAACAACGATGATCAATAATGTTGATAAAAGCATACGTTCTTCATAACGTTTTGCCTGCTAATGTGGAGCGCCATTTACGAAAACTTATCGAAGAAGGGAGAAGGAAATGCCCGATGAAATTGCTCATTTTCACCTCTAAGAGATAAGGAACCTCTAAGGTACTTTTAGGATAAGGATTTTTCTATGCTTTCTTAAGGCCGGCGTAGTTTTTAGTCTATTTCGGACTGCCATCATCAACCAGGTCCATAGGCAAGGTGACAGAAGCAATGCGTCTAACAAATGTCCAGGTTCTCTCACTACGCTAGTACGTGGTCCCGAGAAGAATGAACAGCTTGCACTATCTGCGACAATGCAACTATCTACAAGGAGCAGTTTGCGTACTGGCTAAAATAAACCGTCTTAGAGACGGAAAACGACTAGACCCCCATAGTTAACGATCGGAAACATCCCTATTGTATATGTTCCGATGTTAAATCCGCGCCCGCAGCGATCCTTCACATTAAACTTCTTAGAATGTCTTGAACTATAAAGTAGGGAACAATTGGCAAGCTGAATTGAATCGTTCCTAAGGTACAGGGATTTTTTGGATAAGAACGACTGACGATCTCTCCTTTGATTCCTAGGTAAGGTAGACTATGCTTTCTTGTGCAATTCTTGGTCTTCTTATGCACATATTGTGTGTTGATTGAAGTATGTTACGTTTAAAAACACTCATAATAGAGCATAAATAAATTTTTAGAGATGGGCAGCAAACGGTTGCTTTCAAGAACGTTTTTTGAAATTAATTTCTTACTTTTGACCATCACCTATCCACGTCGAAGTTTCCCATCTTACATAGAGATCCGTTTTATGATAATTCGTTTTGGCGAAAAGTTATCCAAACCGAGATTGTAATGAAAAACCTAGACACGCCTAGCACCATTTCGGTTAAGTGCGACATTGGCCCCACGTGACGGATCTTAGATCCACTATCACGCGAAAAACCAGTTAAATATTGCGAACGCTTTTCTCTAGAGATTCGAAATTATGCCAACAACACAATCTCTGCATTTGAATACATGCTTCACCAATGGGCAACATAGGCTTCGGATATTACTGTATTGTAAATGCACGACGCTGATTAAGACGATGTATTTCAATTAACAGAACGCAATGATGCGAAAATGTTTGAACAGAGAAGTTTCATTTGGAAATTATTCACTAAGTTTATTATCTAAACGCACATCTTTGTTGGTGTCTTAATAACGATCGAATGAACTCAATTACTCCAACGGGAAAGTCTGACTCATAGGCTCATATTCATTTTTTGTTTACTCACAACTGAGATCTTCACAGTTGACCTTTGTCGACAGACCTGCACCCATGAGTTACTCTCATGAGAAAATCCGAAGGGGTGGATGTGCTGCTGGTGGAACGTCAATCGAACTACGCCCTTCAATTTTAAAACGGTTGTAACATTATTCTATTGGGTGTAGCTGTCAATCTTGACGGAGGGACGGTCATATAAACGATCTGGCGTTCCGTAGTGACTTAAATGGACGATCCTCTGAAAGGAATTCTTTGCTATGCTGAAATCTGTCACATGAAAACTGACCGACTAGATAACGTTTATCATAATGTAAATCCATATGGATTTCTACACATTACACATGCGCTCTGCGCTCATCGACTGGCTAATGAAGGACGTTGAGAAACAGCAATGTGTAACCTGGATAACTAACTTGTAGACCATTGATCCTGATGACACTACTGTGCCAGATTAGATTATGTAGTACGTGTTTGTGTACCGAGCGGCTAAAAACACAGCTAGCGCCAGAAAAAAAAATTCGTTTCGTGCTAAAACAAGCTAGCCATTTGAAACAGTGCCTAACCATACGATAACCGGACCTGAAACTCGAAGCACTTAATATCTACTAAATGGTTAAGAACACGGCTGCGAAATTAATCTCTGGCGTGTTACGTTTAATTCTACTGCAGTTAAGTATTGATTTTGATGGCTGTTTACTTCCAGCACAAAGATGTGCCAATGATTTTGTTTTGTGTCTGTAAATTTAGTTGGGAAATGTAGCGTAGGTCAACAGTGCACATGTTTACAGGATGCATTGCCAAGAGCTCGTGCATAGGCTTTCTCCTAGAAGCCGATCTGCGTCCAAACTATTTTAATGAATCCAGACGCAAGCTCGAATCATCCTGCACTGGAAGGACACAAATTCTGAACGCCCGTATAATCGTACCTTTCCTTACCCCAATGCTGCTGCAGGAGTAAACTAAATACCATCGGCATCAGTGTTGCCTAAAAAACGATCGACGCAGGCAAGTGTATACTAATATTGATATATGCGCTTTTTCCTTAACCACCCCCCTTTGAGAAGCTTTATTTCGTTCCAAGAAAATAAGTTTTCCACTGTATTCGATGCCTATTTGAAGCCTACAAGACGTGCTTGGAAAAAAATTCATATGAAATTGTGTCCGGAGATTAGTCTCAGCTGTCGACAGAAAAATCTATTAGCAGACAAAGTTATTAAACCAGTCGTAGTTTCGATCCGAATTCGGACCTGTAGTCGGACGGTTACCCAGTTCTGCGGCATCCGGGCGGAAACAAGAATTCACAAAGTGAACCCCATAAGAACACTACAGGTAGTGATTACCGTAGGCTGACCGCGTTAATCGTGTAGCATATCTGAATCTGCTAGCAACGGGTTCAATGACTATGGTAGTTGGGCGATTCTGCCGACGGTAAGAGGATTGCCGTATTGCAGTTTAATATTTCTAGATAAATACAGGTAAATGGCGACTCATACTATCGTTTTCGGTTGTCGGGCAACGTTGACAGATTGTTGTATCTGGAATTATTACAGAGAAGTGTACAGTCTGAGTAGCATAGCGCGAGATAGCTTGTGCTGGTAGAAAAAGACAATCATCTCTTGGCGGCCGGCAAAATCAACCGTTTAGGTTAAGAAAAAAGCAGCTAATCAAACATCTGCCTATCGAACTCGATGAGGCGCGATGTGTCCTTTGAGAAAAATTAAAATGAGGTACGCCCACAGCTCGTTTCAATTCTAGTTGAGAAGCAAACACGTTGACATTGCAAATGGGGAAGAACGGTCATGATGACTGTGCTGTCATTGTTTTTTGGGGTCAGGTCTATAGTAGCCTTTAAACCTTAAAAGCTAGATGGACTGTTGGTCAAAATAAAAGTTTTGTATACGCCAATTGCAATTAAGCGATCCCCACGTTAAAGTTCGTCGCGCTTTGTTTAAAGAGGACGACGCTCAGTTGTAACTTGAAGTGTTATCGTTATGAAATGATTATATCTACCTGTGTCGTCAGCAGCGGACCTACGTATGTCTAATGGTCAGTGTGTGAGTATGGACGTATCGAACATAATCAGATTTCAGCCCTGATAACTACTGACTACAGGACGCAGCCCTGATACGTAGCGATCTATTCTAACCTTTATCTTCTCGCAAGCTCAATTAACGCGGATCTTGATGTTGAAACTTATCATAGCTGGAATATTACTTCGATATTGTCGTCTTGTCAACAATATGAATCATTTTCAGTAATTACAAATGTATGTAAATTCGATTATAATTTCACAATTGTGTGTCATATTATAATGTAACTATATTTAACATTACGACGTATTTCACATAAGGTTGTGATTATTGACGTGCGTGCCATATGACGGAGCCATGTATTGCCATATATATATATATATATATATAGAATAGTCACTAGCACCTTTAACAGTAATAAGGAAGAGGCCTGATCTATAGGCCCGCGGAGTGTGATAAAGCAACAATAAAATCGTTATATACTTTTTTCATAATAATGTTAAATATAATCGTACATCTTTGTAGTATTTTTGCATATCATAGCTAAACAATAAAATATTAATGACAATTTAGCAATGGTGACAAGCTAACAAACATGAACCTACCTAGGAGATCGTTTAGGCCTATTTGAGTTTGCATCCCTCAGGCCATGTGGCAGACAAGGTGTGGAATGAAGTTATCTATCAGTTACATACTATAGTAATATAGCAAAAAGGCTACTTGGCTTACGTTGTTCTCCCATCACGTGTGTAGGGTGTATATATATACAGTACGGAACTATATGTTAGCCTGTCTTTTGATGGATAGCCAGTAGCTGATTTCGTTAGGAATTTACCTATAAAAGCAAACATATAGAGATATTATAAGGTCATAGGGTTATTTCATAACGATTTCGTGGACGTATCACACTTGCATGCTTTCATGAATCGGCATAGCTTCTCATCATTTGTATTGACGATAGCTCTATCGCGATAACGATATTTACAGACACAAGGAAATCAGGCCAATACAAACAGATTCCTTCAAAGGGGTACGAACAGAGGAGGGAAAACAGTTTCACTCTAGGTATGTGCAACCTTGGTCGCGGACACTGCATTCGGCACAAGGGAAACTACACAGATGACCCGCCTCAAAAAGTCATCATACCTCCTTAGCTTCGTCTAAATAGTTGATATATATATATATATATATATATATATATATATATATATATATATATATATATATATATGTATATAGAGTTTGCACGGCTTATCTTTTATGTGAGCAAGATGTCGACGGCGGATTCGTTGCGTAAGCACCCACCGGCATCCGCATGAGTTTTTCGTTTGATTAACGCCATTTGCCACACATGATAAAAGGCACTTACTTCATCACACCCAAGCTTGAGCAATATGGTGTAAATTCATCATTGAAGGCATCATTTGAGCAATATTTTCTAAGGCATGCACATTAATTAAAAATTACTAAATCTGTCCCTTATTTTCAGTTTAAATAGTAAAAGGTAGGAAGTTATGTTTGACATAAAAAAAAAATGAGTATTGCGGTGATAAAACGATTGTAACATCAGAAAATGGATTAATGGTAAAGTTACTATCAGTAAACCGTAGCAATAAAACGTATGAACCTGAGTTCCTCCTTTTGGTAACAAGACATCATATCGTAAAAACATACATCATACAGCAACATTTTTCCGAACATTTCAATGGTGCGCTCTTTGGCCAATGTCGATTTCTTTCAGTTACTTTTCAAAACTTCTACGTTCTTCATCTCACAAGTTCCATTGTAAACTTTCTCTAAACGCAGCTTGTCGTGCTTGGCTGTTCAGGTTCCGGCGTTGGTGGAGATTCGGGGCTTAATTGATCGGTCGGGATCGTGCCATTCATCCGCATAGGCCAAATATTGATATTAGTCTCAAGCAAGGCCGTGTCGATTCCATGGCCCCGCAGGTGCTGTAAAGCCTGGCGCCGTCGGGTGAATCTCGAAGGGCACAGGTGGCATTCAAGTTTGCCCCCGACGTGAGTTCGTTCGTGTTCGCGTCGGTGACTTTTCGTAGCAAACTTTTTCTGACAGTAAGAACATGGATAGGGCCGTTCGCCGGTGTGCCGGCGCACGTGATCTGCTAAATGATTGGAGCGGGTAAAACCTTTATGACACAGAGGGCATTCGTGGGGTCGGTGAAGCTGCTGGCCAGCCGCTTCGCACGGGGTAATTTGGTTGTTGTTATCATTGTCGTTGACGTCGGTGTTGAGCAACATTTTTGATTTTTTTGATTTGCGAGAACGACCTGCAAGAGAACGAAAGGTAAGAGATTAGTTTAGGAAACTGGGGTGCCGGAAAATTCATTTCAAATAGTGACGTAATAGTGGGCAGTAATATGGATCACGCAGCGATGATGCAAAATGAAAATAGTTAAGTGGTATATATTCAAGACTGTTTTGTAAGTTTATTAGAACAATATCTGTGTGAATAACTGTTTCGAAGAGCTTGTTGAGTTCCAGAGCTGATTAAATGGTCGGCGCATTTTGAACTTCAGCAGATTTGCGGACCGGTCGCCTGGAAAAACATGTCTGATTAGGCATTTATTTATGTGGATTCCCCTAATCAACGACTGTGGTCTACATTGTGTTCAGCATCCTGTTTACTAAAATCAGCAACGTCGTACGCCACTATCTATATTGACATTAACATCTATCCCAAACAAGATTATTCTTTGCCATATTAGCAGGTAGACATGATTTGCTCCTATTTGAAATAGGAATTATAGTAATTTTTTTTTTCTTATAACAATTCCACCCTGCAGAAAGTCCTTTCAAGATATTGTTTTGATGTCCCTATTTCGACTTTCGTAGACATTATTTTGAAAGTATTTCATAAATAACTAAGTTACATATTAATATACTTTATTTTTGCGAAATGGGTTGTATCCTTATGCTTATTTATAAAATAGAAAATCATTCGCGTAAACATTAGTTTTTCACAGGAGGCATTTGATGCGATCGGATGATGTTTAAGCAGCCGCTTGAATCGGACTCACTTAGTGAGTCCGATTTACTTAGTAACTTCGCTCTACTTAACAAGCGACGGTCAAAGGTAAGCATCAAGTATGGAGGTGATGGACAGATGCACAAATTTGAGGCACCCAAAAACGAAGCCATACATATATACGTCAGCGTTTACCACCGGAATTTTCTCTGAGCAGCGTTGTGCGTACAACGAGCTAAGAAGGCATTTAGCGCGTTCGGTGGGAATGTGTTTATGAAATCATCACTTTTTACTGTTGACAACTAGCTTAAAAAGTTATGTTACTGGCTGGGATTGCCTTTTGTTAACGATGACGGTTGTCTTTTTTGTATCAAAGGCGCTTGTCATTGAAGCACGCTGGTATTCAGGCAGTAACGACGAGAGAGGAGAAGGTAAACATTCGACGCTTCGGTAACGGGCTATTGCCGCGATGGTGGAACAAAAGCACGCCACGCAAACGATGCACGTAACACAGTTGAAAAATAACCGTAGCACTGTCAATCAGTTCATAAGCTGGCCACTGCAGGCGGACGCGGAAAGTAGTGGCTACTGCTAACGTGTACCAACTTCACTGAAAAACCGCGTCACTTCTAGAGGATGACTGCTAGTACTTTAACGGCCACAGGTGGAATTACACGGTAAATACGGCACACTGCTACAAGCTTCGAACTTTACGAACGGTTTAAGCATCGCTTCAAATGGCTAACTCTTGTCGGCATGCCGAAACAAATTTCGGAAACTTGACGCGGCGCGCTGGTTGTCTACTACTGATGCCGAAGCAACTACACTCTAAACTTTTTCTAGCTGTTCTTCTGACCGCGGTGGTTCTGCCCCCGGGGCGACTGGTCCAGGGGCTGGCGAGAACCCCTCTGATCACCACCAGCTATACCAGCAACATAGCATTGGCTGGGGGGAGAGTTCTGTTTCGTCGGAGCTTCGTCTACCGCTGCTGGCAGAATCTTTGCTGCCGCTTTTGCTATTGCTACAGCCGCCGCTCCAACCACTGTTTCTCTATACTTATTTCTTTGGGTCGGGGTTCGCCGATGGACGGCGGTGGACGCGACTCTCGGCCGAAAACCTGGCCGCACCAAAGGATCGTCCTTTCTCTTTTCTTTTTCTTCTTCCTATATCTTCGCTTCTGTGGTAACCGACCGACCGACCGACTGCGAGCCGGCGCCAGTACGGCTAAGATCTGAACCCCCAGCAGCGGCAGCAGCAGCCGCAACCTAGCAAGGCTCCGGCAGCTCCGATCCGATCGGAGTTAGAGATATTCGTCGATGTTGTTAGCCATACCCTCCCCCCAAACCCCCTGCCTTCCTCGTTGCGTTCTTGAACGAACCTCTCCGTCACCTCGCGTCGTTGTCCCGCCGCGCCGAAACTTTTCCGTTTGAATCTAGCAATTGTGTTTTTGGATCCGTTCCTAAAAATGCTAGTCGCGTTTACGGCGCCACGGGCCGCCGAAGCCTCGGTGCGGCGGAGCGACAAGCAGATTCGCTGTGTACAGCCTGCGAACCGGCTGGTTTCCGAGGTTTGAACTGTGCAGGCGGCTCCGACACGCACGGGCCTTGCTCAAGTGAGCCAGTTAGTGAATCAGCTAGGTCTTTTTGGTTGCTCGGATCCGAGTCAGGGTGAGGTTGCCGTTTAGCGGTTTCGAACGTTCATGGATCCAACCAGTGAATTGCAGGCTAGCGGTGACGACAGTATGACGGGTCCAATCATACAGTCATCACATGATTTTCTTGTCGGCATTCGACCACAGCGTTGGTTCGATGCTTGTCGACTACTCGCCTGCTGCTGCTGCTGCTGCTGCTACTGTTATCGGTCGACGGACACCACCACGCGCAGCACAGACGCTACGAACACCGTGCGCAGCACCATTATCGGCCGTTTTCCGCCGTGTCGAACGATGCCGGCGTCCTTCTTCCGACGACGCCACAACTAACCACCGCCTTAGAGACGACAGGCACCAGGCGGCGGACGCCAGAAGCGCGTCGTAGCAGCTAGAGGTCCTTTTCGGTTTATCAGGCCTGTGGCGCGGGAAACCTGGCTTGATGCTGTAGCCGGTCGGCAGCAATCCTAAAGCAATAATCCTGAAGAGCATCAGCAAAAAGAGCTACCAGTTCAAAAACGCGGCATCCGTCAACCCTACCCCCATCGCTGCCGGTAGCGCCCAGTTGAACATTTTCAGCTTGAAGAGGGTTCGTTGGTGCCGCGCTTACTCGATGCTGCCGAACCCGCCGCCAGCGGAGTGCGGCCATGTACGAAAAGCAGCCAACGGAGCGATAATCCCAACAGCAGCATGCGGGCGCTAGAATATCGATGGCAGAGCCTGAACACGAAGAAAGAGGGGACTAAATCGTTAGAGTTCGTCGGGACATGGGGTAGCAGATTGGGGGTTGCGCGTCCCGCGCTTGCTCTCGGTTATTTGTCGTCGCCGTTGTTGTTGTTGTTGTTGCAGTGGTCGTTCGCCGCCGCCAGGGGGTCGCCCCGACACGCTGCATGTGGAAAACTGTTTGAGACGCGGCTTTGCCTAGCAGCGCGGTTCGTGAACATACGTGATTGCATGTTGTATGTACATAGACAAAGACATCTAGGCAGAAATATATAACCTTTATGTGTATCTGCGTGTATAACTCTGGACCGGAATGCCTCACTGCTTAATAATAGCCAATAACAATCTGTTGCGGGTATATGGAGCTTTCTCAAGTGGTACTTGTCAGGGTCTTTCGCGCAGAACCAAATTCGAACCCGAAACGCAAAACGAAGAAAGCAATAGAACCCACCAGAAGAATCGGCATCGATTTAAGTAAAAGCGACAGTAGCTGGCGCCACCGCCGTTGGTAGAACACACGCGTCGTAGGTTCGACAGCGCTTACGCGGTAGGTCCGCGGTAGGATTCGTGTAAGCTGACGCGACTAGTCATTTCTATATATTGGTTAGGGTCGTCTGTTCGTCATTGGCTGTAGGAAACAAATGCGCAAAAGTAATAATAGCTGAGCATCGGATCAATGTGTGGTGGCATTAGCCGGTGCGCCGTTCAATGAATATTTATACTGTATATGGATATTCACTGGACGCGCAGATATCCATAGGGACTCAACTTTAGGTGGTCAAAGAGGCGTAAAAAGTAAACGTCGCAATGAGCTCGGGTATTTTTCTGCGGAATTTTCCAGGGCATTACCCACATCATTATCGTCACGCTTCGTTGATTCATTCTAAGTTATTTGTAACGTAACTTAGCAGCAAATAACAAGCTCACATGATTTTACGTATGTATCTTGGGGATGCGTGTCTATGTGCCATAAATCAACAGACTGATATCTATGAATAACTCAGGAAATAATAACATAAGACCCTAATGACCCACAACACGACCCCCTGAAGGCACATTCGCACACTCCGCCCGTAGAGGTAGTACGAACTGGAGACGGGCACGTGTTATGTACGATTAAAAAATCGGTATTTGAGGAAGTCATGTTGTGCCCACTTTTTGTATAATTGGTTGGAAGAACACTTAGCGTTTGTACCTTAATTATCCTCGTATAGTAAAAAATATCAATATTACACTGCACTAGTACACTACGAAAAATCGGCTAAGTATAAGCAAATCTAGAATCCTTCGCACGCAAACATTTCTTATAGTAGACTGCACCGTAAGGATCTGACATCACAGTTAATTAATATAGAACAACGCGGAAATCAATGACTCAATGAGGTTACTGGCTGTATCTATTTTTAAGCTTACGGCAGAGATAAATAGCCAATGAATTTTCAAAAATTGACAGTTGGGGTTAATATTGCTAATGTATAGGTTCGTTTGCTGGGAGCCAGCCGTCGGTCTGATGGAATGCTTAATGGCAGTACCAGACGTAAAATTCTTAACATAGAAATTCGTTTGTTATACAGTTTATCCGTAACTGGATGATAGACTATATCTTGGTACTCTCTTGCGTTCTATCTCAACGACATGCTGTGCACTGTAGCTGCCTATCACGGTAAAGGCATTTTTCGGGTTTTACATTTCATGCTATTAGGTATTGTTTCAGATTTAGCTCCTATCAACACGAACCAAGGCGCGTCTACGTCCGGTTTCAAACCTAAACCACCGTACATATCTTTAAGTTTAATAGGCAACATAGAGGTTCACTGCCACGTTACCACTGCACCATCTCGGCAGCCAGAAGAAAAACACAGGTATAGACAAACTCTGAAAAACACGTAGTGGCCCTTTTCTAGCCGTCCGTAGCCCAATTCGAATCAGTCTTTTGCCATAATCTTTTCGGAAAATCAAGGCATAGCGCTTATCTCACCGTCAGATCGGCAGCAGCTGGTATTGTTCACCGTAAAAAATTATCGGTTAGCTAGCTGGTGCCGAAACAGAGCTGCGCGTCCGGTAAGATACGGCGAACGCGCGCGACGATTACAATCATACGAGACGTAAGGGGCAGTGACTGAGTGAAGGTACCTCTTTTTCATCCCGCAAAGCTTTTCTCTCCATCTATCCTTCTTTTTATGT